CTTTGAAGCCCGAGTGCCCACCGCAATCGTTGCGTGTAGGCTCGGTTGTGCACGCGTGACATCGAGCGTTGGGGGCGGAAGGTGCCCTCTCCAACGTCACTCCTGCAGGCAATTCTACACTGGCTGGTTGTGCGCAGACTATTCCGTGGGTGACAGCTCTCTTGTTGCGCGCAAGGATCGATCAAGTATGTCATGTCCGTGGCTTTTGGTGCCGTCCTCTCCTTTTCTCAGGGACGCCGCCTCTATTGGATGCCGCGTCTCGGTGAAGAGTGCCGCGATTGCAGGATCGCCGTGTTTGATGAGACAGGCCAGCTCAGAGATCGAGCGTCTTGTGATTCCTGTCAACGCGTCGGAGGTGGTCAAGGATCTGGGGGCGATGTCTACGGCTGGGAGGAGGGGTGCCTGGCTGGGGTCCAACGACGTCGGGGGGGGGGTCGGCGTGCTTGTAACTTGCAGCACTTGGCTCAAATGCGCGGTAGGTCACGCAGACCATTCAAACTTGGCACGCTGGGCGCGGGGGCTTGGAGCCGCAGTGCCTTGGGATCGCCCCCGTCTGAGGTCCAGTTCTTTCGAACGTCTGCGGCGAAACGCCCCAGGTAATTGGTCCCCTGGTGTTTGTACCTATACTGTGTTGGCTGATTGCCACCAGTTCGCCGATGACCCCGCCTACCGTCCGCGACGCGTGCAACTTGGAGCTCCTGGCGGGGATCTGGATCTCCTGGTTTGAGATCTGGTGTTGCTCGGGCGTGGACCTCGGTCAGGGCTAAGTTGATGGGCGTCGAGCCCAATCGGCGCTGGGCCCTGGTGAAGGACCCTATCTCTGCGATTCTTGCGACCCTCCTTGATTTAGGATGGGCGTCTGATTCTCCAACTAGGTGCACCGCGTCATCTGGCACGCTGGACCTCGAGGGCCCTGTTTTCGAGTTTGTCTTGGGCAAGTACGTGAAGGAAGCGGTCCCCAGGTTGCTCTGGGAAAAGGCGTCGGCCCATTATTGCGGCGTTGGTTTGGAAGGCGGTGTGGACTTTCTTGTTTTCGGTGCATCCATGGGCAGTTGGTGTCCGAAGGCGCCCATCAAGATGAAGCCTGCTCTGTTGCATCGTGTCTGCTGGATGCCGCCCCGAAGCGCGGCTTCGGCAGGCTGGCTATATTTCGCCTGGCGCCTGCCCGCGCTGTGGAGCAGGGCAAGAGTCGATGCTGCACGGGGTGTGGCAATGCCCGTGCAACTCCGATATTGGGCCCAGTGGTATGTCACAATCTGCTCCTCTCGTCCATGAGGCTCAGGAGGCTGGTCGAGTGTGTCCTGAAAGTGCCTTCTGGGATCGTGGGCTCCGTAGTCTGGCGGCCGCCGTCAATCAGATCCCTCCGCCGAGTCCCCTCGCTTTCGCTTGGGGCCTCCTGGTCAACGGCGGTGCAGTGGAAGATGGAGTGTGGGGCCTTGGTGGCTCAGGTGGCGAGTGGGCTAAATATTGGAGGCTTCGACGATGTGGGTGGGCCATGGGCCATGGTCAAGCTCGATCCTGAATATGTCCCTGGTGATTTCAGATTCGAAGGAGCGCTTTGTGGCAGTCTTCCGTCCCATGAGCAGTCCAGCCCGCGTGCTCAGATGCACGCGTTCTTCCAGTTGCTCGTTCATACAACAGGCGACATCGCGGCGTATTCGGATTACCTCCCCTTGGCGCGTGCGTTCAGGCGGTCCCGAACCTACATCGCCCGAACGTCCCCGTTGCTTGATCTGTGAAGTCTGATCTGGGCCCAGTTGGATCGTAGATCTGGTCGTGTCAAGCTGATCTGGACGAAGGCTCATGCGAGTGTGGCCCTGGGAGATGCCTGGGGCTTGTCTGAGGAGGGCTGACTATTTTGCTGGTGTGGCCGCTCCCCAAGGGGAGGTATTTCCTGAATCTGTCAAGGTCATTGCCGATGTTGATTTGCTAACCTCCGAAGTTGTTTGCGCTTTCTGGATATCGACAGGGACGTTCGCCTCACCTGCGCCCGCAACAAAGCCGATCGCGTTGGAGGGCCACCCCCTCGTCCGAAGGCGTTGCCTACCGACTTTGCGCGGCGCCAGCGCTTTCGTGGTGCCGGCCATCCGGTGGTCAAGAATGGAGGCTGTTTTCGGTTTGAGGTGTGTGGCAAGGCAAGTTTCTGGCTTTCAGTGGCAAGACTTCGGACTTGAATCCTGGGAGGCGCGTGGGTGAGCCTCCCATGCGTGACGGTCCTGAAGCGGCCATGGCGCATCCTGCGCACCTCGTGCGCGTGGCTCCCATCCCCTGGGTTGGCCTCAGAGGAGTGCTGTTTCGCAGGGCCTGCGGCCGCCACTGCGTGGACACGGTCCAATGTGTGGCTGAGCCGCGCCTCCCGCAAAGCCCCTCTCAGGCGGGCCGCGAGGTCCTGTCTCGCCTGTCGCGGGGGCTCCCGCCCAGGGGTGGGCAATCCTTCCCACGTGCACGTTAAGAAGAAGGCTGGGTCCCTGTGCCATCGGGGAGCGCCGATGCTTGCAGGTTCACGAAAAGGTTCCCCTCCTCCTTCTCTCCCCTCCTCCTCCTACCCCTCCTGCCCCTCCTCCTCCTCCTCCTCCTCCTCCTCCTCCTTCTCCTCCTCCTCGTTGCCACTGCTGGCTTCGCTTCGATCTTGTTGCCAAATCGCACCCCTGGAGAGAGCTGCGGATGAGCGTCATCGGTGCCTTTTTGGGGGGTCCTCCCCAGGGGGGAGCTTCTAAGAGGCAGGAAGGCAGGCGGCTTGTCGGAGGCGCTCCCGACCTTCAAGAGGCCTTCACAGAATCCGCCGGGCGTCTCCAAGAAGCCCCCAGGCACTTGCAAGAAGGCTCCAGGCGTTTCCAAGAGGGCCCCCCCCTGCCCTCTTAGCAGGCCGACCCCCTCGCGCCAGCCTCTTGTGTCAGGATGCAGCTCCCGGGAGGTTCAGCGCAGCATCAACGCTGGTGCATCCAGTCCGTGGCCAGAATGGAGCGCAATCCGGCATGATCCCGCTCAATCCGCTCAATCCAGCTCAGTCTGGCTCTCTCTCTCTCATCGAGCGCGCTCCATTACTCGCAAAGTGCCTACTCGCAAACGTCCGACAAAAACAAACTTCTGACCCGATGCAATTTATCGCAGATCCCCCGCGGCGGATCCAGGCGACTTTGCGAGCAGCTGCTTTGCGAGCAGTGGAACGCGCTCATCTATCCTCGGGCTTCAGATTGGCCCTGATAGGGGGCCACATGCGAACCCTCCCCCTCAGAAATCGTGGGGGGTAGGGGTAGGGGTAGGGTTCGCATGTGGCATCCTACCTGATGCTGGCCAATCCGGCTCAGTGGCCCCCTCTGACCGTGCTTGCCGGCGGAGCTGCCTCCTGACTCCTGCGCGCCGGCCGGGAGGACGCCGTCGAGAGCTCGTGCCGGGCGGTCCTCGACGGCTGGTGGGACGTCAAGCTCGGCTCCTGGCGGGGGGACGCGGCCTTCGAGGCGTGGAGGGAGTTCGGCCGCGGCGTCGAGACCGACGAGGTGCTGGAGAGGTTCGCCCGGGACCTCCACGACCTGCCGCTGCTGAAGTGGGCCGAGAAGGAGCGGGGCAGCGTACCGGACCTCCCCCTTCCCCTCGTCCTCCTCCTCTTCCTCCTCCTCCTCCTCCTCCTCCTCCTCCTCCTCCTCCTCCTCCTCCTCCTCCTCCTCCCCCTTCTCCTCCTCCTCCCCCCTCGAGTTGCGAACAAAGGCGGGACCGACAGTGATGTCTTGTGTTTCCCTGTGCGGCCCCAGGGGGCCCTCTTGCCAGGCCCGGGGCTGTAAAAAAGCGACTCGGGGCGAGAAACCGATGTTGAGGAATGGGTCCAGAGTTCTGGGGTTCGAGAAAGAGCAGGTGGCGATACCGCACCCTCCTATCGTTTTCCGGAGGTGGACAGACCTCCTACCCTGACACGTCGATTAAGGAATTTGCTGTTTTCGGTTCGCGAGAGGTCGTCGCGGCTGTCATTTTTGCGGGTCCAGGTCCGTCAGTTTCGGTCCCAGGCCGTTTTCACTAATTCTGAACCACAGTCAGACATCTTCCCTGCCTGGGTAATTACAGTCCACACGGGGTTACCTAAACACAAGACTCGAGTTTGGCGGAAGTCGGGTTTGCCGCCGCTCTTCGATGGTCCCGGCGTGAACGTTGCCGGCCTTGTTTTCGCGAGATGTTTGCAGCGGGAGTCGTTGCCAAAGTTCAGCAAATTTTAGATTCGGCCCTGTCATTTTTCTGAAGGCTACGTCAGGCAAATTTACCCGCGTCCCCCCCAAGAATCCCAGCATCACCCCCACCACCGAGAGGAGCGCGAAGGCAAGACGGACGACATGCAGGTGGAGGACTTCATCGCTTTTGTCCAGCCCAGGCGGGATCCAATCGGTTCGATTCGGCGTCGATGCAGGGTAGCCGGATCAGCTTCGATTCCGACCTTCCGGCGATCCGATGTTGCCCGATGTCCGAAGAGCGTTGTTGCGCATACTGGCGTGGCCGATTCGCTTCGATTCCGACTCGGCGCCGATCTGGCCCGAACGGGTGTACGGTCCGATCCGACCTGGTTTGTCGAATCTTTGGTGGCTGCTCCTGCCAGGTGCGTGGAGATGGTGCTCAGAGTGTTCGCCGGGGGGGAGCTGACCCAGCTGTCGGGGAATAGGCTTCGGCGGTTCGAAGATGGGGGCTTGAGAGATGAGGGCCCCCAATAGCCGAGCGGCCTCAAACAGTCACGGCTCAGCTGGGGAGCCTTTTCCTATCCTCAGGACCCCAATTCTTAGCATCCCATCTTTGAACTGCCGGAGGCTCTTCGACACCGTTTTCGAGGACCAGGCGCCCAGGGCAAGCACGCCCCCCGCCATAGATGAGTTGACCTACGGCTGGCTGAGGGACGACACCATGGCGAAGACTCAGATGAGCATGCACTCAAAAATTGCCGTCAACGGCAAGAAGGAGCCGCCAGGAAGAGTGCAGCCAAGACGCTGAAATGAGGATGACTTGCTCAGGAGGGCCTCTGGCTGCCGGGACGTGCCCTGGCTGCGTGGCGGGGGCCGTGCCAAGAAACACCCTGCTTGCCTCCAGCGTGCCCTGGGTTTCTTGTGCGTCGATGGTTTTGCGAAGGAAAGCGTCACGTCCCCACACCAACATCCAATGGACGTCCTCAGAGCCCCGAGTCATCAGGGGTAACTCGGGTCAGGGCTAACTCGGGTTCGCTTTTCGGGAATCCGAACCCGACTTACCCCGGACCCGAGTTACCCCGGATGATTCGGGCGTCCAGAGCCCCGAATCATCAGGGGTAACTCGGGTCAGGGGTAACTCGGGTTTCTTTTTCGGGAATACAAACCCGAGTTACCCCGGACCCGAGTTATCCCGGATAACTCGGGCGCCCAACGTCCTGGGGTCTCAGGGTTGGGCTTCTCGTGGAAGGTTTCTTGTGGACCGGCCTCCACTGCAGGTCGGGGAGCCCCGTCGTGGCCGACGCTCACCGTGACCAAGCATATTTCCTTTCGGTCCTTTATCCGGGTCTCCTCAGCACGATCACTGCATGGGATCCTGGGGGGAGGAGGTCGTGAGGCGTTTTCGATGCTCTCGGCTTCTGGGGCTCCCTCCCCAGGGTTCATTTCGATGCCCCCAGTTCGGTTCCATTCGATGTCGATGGATTCCGATTCCGATTCGAGTCGGCTTAGGATTCCGATTTGGACTCCGACTTCTCATTGGACACAGACTAACTAGCCTGCCGATTTCCGCCGATTCGACTTTTCCCGACTCCGTTGCCGATTTCCGCCGATCCCATGCATTTCGATCGCAGATCCGACTCGTCGATTCGAATTTGGGCTCTCCTATGAAGGGGAGAGGTCCTGAGGTGTTTTCGCTGTCCTCGGCTTCTCTTGTGCCCCCTCCCCCGACCCCAGGATCGTCAGAAGACGACCCAGCATGAGAAGCAGGCCCTTGTGAAAGCCCAGGCGTGCAGGACCCATTTCTTTCGGGACCCCTTCTCAGGCGGGACTGCCCCCTTTGATGGGCCTGTTTTCCGCCACCACCACCATAAGTTGGAGGGGGAAGGAGTCTTCTCCCTCCTCCTCCACCTCCTCCTACTCCTCCTCCTCCTTCTCCTCCTTGAGACCTGGATCCAGCATTTGAGCGCGTCCTGGAGCGCTCTCTGAGCGTTCCGGAGCGCTCTGTAACGGCCATGGCGCCCGATACGATACGGAGGAGGAGGAAGAGGAAGGAGGAGGAGGAGGAGGAGGAGGAGGAAGAGGAGGAAGAGGAGGAGGAGGAGGAGGATGAGGGGGAGGAGAGAAGGAGAGAGGGAGGAGGAGGAGGAGGAGGAGGAGAGGAGAGGAGGAGGAGGAGAAGGAGAGGAGGAGGAGGAGGAGGAGGAGGAGGAGGAGGGTGGCCTCCAGAGCCACGGTCGCTGCGATGTAGCCCCGGTCATGGCTCCGTTTCTTGGCCTTCCCCCCTGGGGCCACAGGAGAAGGAGCACTACCAGTTCAGGCATTTGCGGAAGCAGTTCGGCGTGACAGACAGCTTCCTGGACGAGTCGGGAACGGCGGCGAGCGCCAGCGACTTCACTGTGAGCTGCGAGCCAATGTCCGACCCGCACGCCCAGGTGAGATGGAGGATCGAGGAACGAACAACTGCATAAACTGTCGAAGCCACGCACGGAATTTCTGGAGCGGCGCTGGACCCCCCCGAAGCGGCGCTTGGGGCGCGCCCCAGGCGCGCTCTCCGCGCCAGGGGAGAGGCCCAGCGCGCAGCAAAGAAACCCGCGCGTGCCTCAGACGACGTAATCATGTGTGTATGCAGCTGTATTCTCTTCCCAGAGGAGCTTCCACGTGCTCGCGAAGAGCTACTTCGAGCACATGGAGAAGAACCCCGACAGCCTGCTTCCGCGCGTCTACTCCGCCTGGTTCTCCGAGGCTGACAGCAAGCTCTGCTACGCCATGCAGTCCCTTGTGCCTGGGCATTTCATCGACAACGTGGAGTGGAGCCAGGCAGGGTCCATGCCGATCCCGTCCGATACTGGGTTATGTTTTGGCGATCTGATGCGGCCGGATGCTTGCGTGGCGGTGTTGCGCATCCTGGCGTCGCCGAATCGATTTGGTTTCGTTTCCGCTCCGATGCGAACCGATTCGGTGCACGTTCCGACGCCGCCCGACTCATCGGAGGAGGAGGAGGAGGAGGAGATGGAGGAGGAGGAGGAGGAGGAGGAGGAGGAGGAGGAGGAGGAGGAGGAGGAGCGGGGCTGACCGCCCCTGCCAGGGTCTCAGCAGCGCCATGCTCTCCTGGGAGTTGAAGGGCTCGACCTCCCTGAAGGAGTACTTCGGGCAGCGGCACCAGTACCACACCTCGAACGGGCCGCTGAACGACGCGGACTTCAAGCGGGACCACGTGCTGATGTTGCCTGCGCAGATCCGGGAGGAGCTGATTGAGCAGCTCGATCGGGACACCCAGTGGCTGAGGCAGAGCGGCATGATGGACTACAGCCTGCAGCTGCTCCGCGTCAAGGTCGGCGACACGGACGCCCTGACTCGAAACGACGCGCCAACCATCACCAACCACGACGGGGCTGAGGGATTTGCCGAGTGGATGCTCCTCCTCCTCCTCCTCCTCCTCCTCCTCCTCCTCCTCCTCCTACCCCTTTTCAGGCGGGGCTGCCCCCTTGATGGGCCTGTTTTCCACCACCACCACCATAAGAGGGAGGGGGAGGGGGTCCTCCTCCTCCTCCGCCGACTCCTCCTCCTCGTTCTCCTCCTCCTCCTCCTCCTCCTCCTCCTCCTCCTCCTCCTCTTCCCCCTCCTTCTCCACCTCCTCCTCCTCCCCCTCCTCTCCCTCCTCCTTCCCCTCCTGTCCTACTCCTCTCCCTCCTGTCCTACTCCTCCTCCCCCTCCTCCTCCTTCTCATCTCAAGCCAGACTGGCTTGAGGTGAAGGCCCAGTTGGGGCCTGCAGGGTTGTCTAGGGCACACCCTCTCTGACACCCTACCTCACGCCAGACTCTGGTGCCTGCACGGGGCGCTTGAGGCATGCCGTTTACATTCCCTTTCGAGTGGCTCGGTAATCAAAGCCAGAGATTCATGTCGCATGTTTCCTCTTCCCAGCGGCTGTGGAGCTGCTGTTCAGTCTGCCAGCTATGCGAATGGAATGATCGCCTTTCAGAGCGTGGCGGTCTGTGTCGTTGTTGTGTACGTGTTCGCATGTACCCGGCTCCCGCTGGCAAGAAGGTTTCGTTCGATGACCGCACATCATTGGTTCGGGGCCGCTCTTCCTCCCCTGCTCCCTGGAGGACAGCTTCCACGGGCGGTCCCCAGCAGAGCCCCAGCACGGTTGTCGATCACCTTCGGGCGGCGCTGGCAGCCAGCTCTGACCCCAAGGTGAAGGAGGCGCTCCAGCAGCAGCTGGGCCAGCTGGCAGCCAGCACGGCCAAGCCCGCGACGGCCCCCCCTCTGGGAGGCAGCCGTTGTCTCGAGGGCGGAAGGCATCTGGCGGGATTGCAATCACAAGCGCGACCACGCAGTGGCCAACGTGCAGCGGCTGCGCTCCTCCCTCCAAACCGCGGCCGAGAAGGAGCAATCAGCTGCCCTGGCCCTCGCCGAGGCCGAGACAGGCAACCGGTAGGAGGCGGAGAGTCTGGCGCGAGCGGCAGGCATCAAACCAGCCGACGCGCCAGCAGGCGAGGACCCGACCCCTGCCTTCACCGTGTCGTGGGACACGAACCTCTTCGACGATCTGGAACAGGTCGAGGTCGAGGGGGCCAAAAAACAACATCTTCGTCCCATCAAGGCGGGGCTCGAGAATATGCAGGCCATGTTCAACGCCAAGAACACGGAGGTCCAGGCGTGGCTTGACAAGACATCCAAGGTCAAGCAGGCCATCGCCCCGCGCTTGGCCAGCAAGAAGAGGCGCGCGAAGGGCGGGGCTGCTGCAGGAGGCGGTGATGGCGACACCCCAGGCGCGGCAGCCGAGGCCACATCCCCAGACTCTGGCGCTGCAGTTGCCAACGCTTCGGAGGCCACCCAACAGAACGCAGCAACCCCATCCCCATCGGAGGAGGAGCAAGCTGCCCACAAGAAGAGGGTCGCCGAGGAGGCAGCCCGCCTTTCAGTCGCGAGGCCCCAGGCAACGGCCAAGGGAACAGCGCAGACCAATGGCAGCAAAGGCAGCAAAGGCGGCAAGCTTTCAGCTTGAGGGTTTGTGTCTGGCGCGGCGCTGACCGCCCAGGCGGGCGCGTTGCACGGCCAGGCGCCAGTTTTGTCGCAATCCTTGCCAGATGACCAGGACACCTCTTCGTGCAGGCTGTTCTTCAGCAGCATCACAGCCATGACCGACAAATCATGGAATCATCTCACTGAGCGCGCCCTAGAGCATGGTGGGATATTGGGGAGCGTCGAGACTCACGTGCCTGAATCGCAGATACAATCATGGGGTCCTCGTGCTCGCAGCCACGTACTTCGTCTTTTTCCCAACCCTGCCAGGTGTTCTGGGAGGCACCGTTCCACCGACATGCAGTATCGGGCCAACGAGGGCGGCGAGTGATTGCTAGCTCGTGGTCACCTCCAGGTAACCAGATTAGAGGAGGCGCTCACGACCACGGCGCTCCGCGCGCCAGGGTCATCCGCCTTGGACGGGTTCAACACAGCAGCCGTGCATTGCAATGGCGTCTCCTTCATTTCCCTCGTCGTCTACGGCTTCACGTCCAGCGGCCTTAGCGGCCGCAACCTCGCCAGGTATCATCGGTCGGGAGGGCCCTCACGAGTCTGAAGCTTCCGTGGATCTGTTTGGGCGACTGGAACGTGGAGCCCAACGCTCTTCTCAAGCCAGGGTTTGTTGGCCAGGTCCTCGGCAGGGTCATCACCCCGGAGGGCGTCGCCATCACGCGCGATGCCAGCCCGCAGGGGGGGGGGGGGGGGCATGCTGGACTATTCCGTGGTGAGCGAGGCAGCTGTTCCGTACATCATCGCGCTGCGGCCAGTGACCGGCGTGCCTTGGCACCCTCGCGTACGGCTGTCGCTGGAGGTGCGAGGCAGTGGGGGCCAGTTGCTGGCTAGGTGTTTGCTCTGCGCTAGCCGTCTTCCGCAGTTGCCCAGGCCTTCCAGTTTGCTTCTGCCTGGCTCGAAGAGTTCCCGGGCCATGCCTGACGCGCAGCAGCGTCGTGCCCTCGTAGCCGCCAGTCGCCAGGAACCGATTTCTTCCATGTTGGGTGATCATTTTGTACCAGACGCCTCCAGCTCAGCCGCGCGAGCAGGCGGCGGCACTCCGTGTGTTTGTTTTCGAGGAAGCCGAAGATCAGTTCCCGTCCGAAGACGAGGAAGATCCCGGGGCTGAGGGGCCCAGCTTCAGGCCGCAAGAGGCGCGGCAAAATGTGCCACCTGTCGCCAACATCGGTCGCGCCAGCATGGTTGAGCATGTGCGGGCTTCCTCTCGCCACGGGGTAGATGAGGGTTCGCAGTCTGACAGCGCGTCCACTCGTGTCTTGGGCCCCCCCCCAGCCGAAGAGTGCGCTTCGCAATTTGGTTCCCCTCCCGTGGAAGCCCCTTTGGCCCAGGTCGAGCCGTCGTTCCATGTGCCAAGCGAGTTGTGGGCCAAGTTCCGCGAGCAAAATGACGGGCTCGTTGGATGGCCACCCCCGCCCCACTTCATGTTTTGCGTTCGGTTTGGCTCAACCCCCAGCAAGTGGGATCCTGCGGCACTTGGTACGCTCAGTGGGTCAGCATTGTTGGGCAGGTGGCGAGGGCGCGCCATCGGCCGCCGAGTTCGGGAGCTCCAAGCCGCGCTGACGGTCGCAGCTTCCCAGAGGTACTTGTCCGCCACAGCGGCCTACAGCGCGAGCTCCCTCTCCGCGATAGAGTCTCTGGCTGGTGGAAGCGCGCGCGCTCCGATGCAGCGCAGCTTAGCCGACGTCGCAGGAGGGCCGACGGGGAGACGCGACTTCGCGAGCTACTTCGGGCTCGTCAGTACCTGGCGCAGGGTTGCCCAGTCGGCGCCGACGGCGGCAGCAAGGTCGACGAGCCACCCTTGAAGGAGCGGCGCAAGTTCCTTCTCAACGCGGCGAACTGCGCACGGCAGGTCCTGGAGGGATTTCAGTTGCGTGCTCGACGGTTGGAACGCAGAGCCCCCCGTAGGGTGCTGCGTGTGTCCTTGCATCAGTTCAAAGATTGGGTTTCATATTAGAGCTCCCTCGGCGCCGTGCACAGGTCTCTGCGAGGCGACCCCCTGCCCCGGCAGGACGCGCAGACGAAGCTGGGTGTCCTCGCGCATCCCAAAGAGATTCTGGATCAGCAAAAGGGAAGCACTATCTGGGGGCCTCGTCTGCAAGTTTGACCCTCCGCGCGGTGCGCCGGGAGGTTTTCGCTGCGGCGCACGACGAACCCTTGGAGCCAAATCAAGTTTCCCATATCAGAGTTGCAGTTCGTCGCATGAAAGGATGCACTTGGTTGGGCGCTGATCGGTTGACCCCAGTCGGCATTGGGCGACTCCCAGCGGCTGGGGGGGGACGGACTTGCATCGTTCTTTTTTGGGAAAATTATTGCGGGCCCACTTTGGCATGGCCACGCCAGACCCAGCTCATTGCAGGCAAGCGCTTGCCCAAGGAGAGCGAGGGCGATCGCATCATCGGGCTCGCATCTCTGCTCTGCCGCGCGGGGTCGCTCACCGCGGAGGGCGAAGTCAAAGCGCGGGCTGTTGCCAACGAGCAGCAGCGAGGCGTTGCGGTGCTCGGCAACGCTTCCCTGCAGGAGGCGTTTTTTTTTGCACGTGGAGTGGCGAAGTTGCAGCTGCGGTTTGCGTCAGGACGGCGCACGACGTGCTGGACACCAAGGGTTTCTACGATTGTATCGATTGGGACCTTTGCCTTACGACAGCGCTGCGCTTGGGGCATCCCCCCGTAATGCTATACATGGAGATGGCGCTATGTTTCGCCCCATTTACCGCGGGGCAGTGGCGCGGTCTGCGTCCCGTTCCAGGCGCAGAGGCCCATCATGCGAGCGCTTCGTGGGGGCACAGGGTTCGCGACATGTTTCACTTATTCCAATTTGGCTGCCATCGTCCAAGAACGCAGCTGCATTTGTCATCGCACGCGGGTGGGCGGCTTGTCGCAGCGCATGGCAGGCCCAAGAGAGGTACCAAGGGCCAAGATGACGGCATGCCCCGCTGACGCGTGCAATGAATTTGCTAAGTGGAAGCTGGACGCATCACCGAAGTCGGCCATCACCTGTGCTGTTCATGGTAATGCCAAGGCCATTGTTGCGCAGCTGAAGCCACGAGGGTTCTCGGTCAAAGCTGCGCCACAGTCGCCCGTCCTTGGGGTTGATCAAGGTAGCGGCGCTCGAGTGGCACGGCAGGCAGAGCCAAACGGGTCGCCAAACATTCCAGGATTCATGGTAAGGTGCGTCTGTTTACCAGTATATCTCGCAGGCACCAGATCACCGGGGAGCTAGAAAGGACGGGAGCCGCTGCAGCTGGGCTGTATGGTTCTTTCATATACTTCGCAAGGCGCCATTTTCGGCTATCCGTTCGCCCGAAG